CATAAATTCTAACACTTTTACTTTTGATTAACAAATTAGAATAATTTACCTTTAGAGAACTATGAAATTTCGTAGAATTTCATTATTCATAATGTCTAATTGCTATCCAAAGTTAAACCTTCATTTGCAAATAGAATATAAGGCGAAGGCCAAAAAGTTGAAGTTAGTATGGCTTTTCAACCATAAATAGATGAACAGTCTGATAGAACGATTCAAGTTTTTCAAAACGTGGCAATCATATATTATTGACTTTTGAGGTGCCTAAGATGGATCTCGTTTGACTACAATAATAATTTGCAATGCACAGCTTCTATGGAACTGTTGGGGCAAACAAGTCCCACATCGGTTGTGGGAAGAAAATAAATCCATCATATAACTCAAGTGGGCTACTCCACCCATTACCAATTGGTTTTGGGATGGAACCTCACTTGGGCTTGGTGGAGTGGGCTTGGGCCCTGAGTAATTGTTCTCAATAATTCCCTACAGGAACCTTATGAGGCATTAAGTAGGGGAAAACGAAGATCGTATGCATATGAAGATGAGGCTTTAGAATGAGGAAAGAGAAAGAAAATTCCATGGTCAAAACATTGTCTAAGAAATAGTCGATTGTTAAGAATATTTGACAATTGATGAAGACAGTCCAAAGTAGACACAAAAACTACACTGTAGAATAAGGAAAATTCATAGTTTGTTGCTCTTTTAAGGTGACACCTATTAAGATTCGGATGAGGTTTGAGAAGAAATGAAAATTGAGTTTCTTTTGTTAGGCCTTTCGAAATACTACAGAGGATAGGTGAATTACAATAAGTGGATCGCTTTACCACCAGCATTTTTAGGGGGCACCATGTAGTCATGTTTCTAAGTTAAGAATGATCTCAGAGATGGAAGAGAATAAAACTAGTAAAAATAATTTGGAGGAAACTTGAGAGCGTAAAGATTAAATATGCACAAAATACCCAAAATTATTTTGTAAGTTTTAATTTCGATGACAAAATTTATTTTTACGGGATAAGAATTCGTAACTCCACAATCTTTTCGTGAATTTCCACACATGTATGATATTGCGAAATTATAAATTCAATGTTAATTTATTCACGTTGTGACTAACCATGTTTTGTAGTGGAATATACCTTAGACGCCCTAAACGATCAACGTGTTAATTAAAGTTAATTGCAATATTCTTACAATTAAGTTAAAACATATAATAAATAATATTTTATTTATTTTATAATAAGCTTATAATGTTATTTGTTATTAAATAAATTGAACATATAGGCCTGACATTAGCAACATTTATATCGTTTCTCTTTAATTTAAAATAAATTCTAGCGGGTAATTAGCAGAAATGGTTCCCAACGTTTACACTCTTTGCTAAAATGGTCTCTATCGTTTTAAAATTGACATTTGTACCCTTATTTCAAACGTTTCTTGTGGAATTGGTCCTTCCATCCATAAACCGTTAAACATCCGTTAGAACCTTTTGGTAATTTGCAGAAATGGTCCATATGGAATATAATTTAATATAGAGCTTGTTTGTTACTGATTTTAATCCAATTAAAATTGAAAATATAGCTTTTATTGGGTCTCACCCGTCTAATAAAAGTCAACAATAACGGTTAGTTTTTCAATTCTAATTCAATTTTAATCTCTACCAAACAAACTCATAATTTTGGAACGGCCTGTTTCGACGAGTGATAACTGTCACTATAGTTGGCCGTTTCGCACGCCGTTAGGGATGAGAGAAATTAGGTTATGAGCACTTCGAAATAGTGTTAAAAATGTAATATTTCGACTTCGTTTGACTTCCCGTAATAATCCCACAAAATGGAGACAAAAAATAAGAAAAATCGTTTATATATTTTGGAACGACCTGCTTCGACGAGTGGTAACTTTCGCTACGGTTGGCCATTTCGCACGCCGTTAGGGATGGGATAAACTAGGTCATGAGCACTTCGAAATGATATTAAAAATGTAATATTTCGACTTCGTTTGACTTCCCGTAATAATCCCACAAAATGAAGACAAAAAATAAGAAAAATCGTTTATACATTTTTATTACCATTTCGAAGTATTCATGACCTAGTTTCTTCCATCCCTAACGACGTACGAAACGGCTAACGGTAACGAAAGTTACCACTCGTCGAAGCAGACCGTTCCAAAATATATAAACGATTTTTCTTATTTTTTGTCTCCATTTTGCGGGATTATTACGAGAAGTCAAACGAAATCGAAATATTACATTTTTAACACTATTTCGAAGTGCTCATGACCTAGTGTACAAATGCCAATTTTAAAATGATAGGGACCATTTTAGCAAAGAGTATAAACGTTGGGGACCATTTCTGCTAATTACCCAAATCTAGCTATTTTGATTGGATTTATATTTGGACAGTATAGAAGGAATTTGCTAATTAGGTAATTAGCGCAAGTTTGAACTCCCGAAACTTTTGAACTTTGTCTGATTACTCCATTAATATCTCTAACTGCTCAATTGCAATCCAATAGATCTTCAAATGCTTCGAATCAATTTCAATTATGCTCCAATTTCACTTATTTCACAAAAAGTTCATCCTAGTGCATCTAAATTTGGACTTTTCTTATAATTAATATATTTTATTTAAAATTAAGTAGATATCCGCTCATTTATCCATAAATAATTAAGTAAAAAAACTTAAATAAGTGCATAATGTGCACTTATCGATCATCAACAACTTTGAAAGTATAAATACAAAATCTCAAAAAAAAAAAAAAAAAAATCAATCATTCACCCCCAATATTTAAAAATCTTTCACAAAATAATAAAATAAAATAAAAAGAAATCTTTTAATGTGTATAATCTCTCTTTCTTGAATATTTTTCTTCTCTCTTTCATTCCATAAGCCATAGATACAAACAAAATTATATTTCCTTTCTTTTCAACATTATTATTCTCATTTGTTTTTTTCTATTAAAAATTATCAATTTAATTAAAATTTTAAAAATATATTAATTTTCTAAATTTTTATGTATTTATTCTTATCTAATTTAAACTCTATATGTTTGGACATATTGATGATATTGAACATTTAAAATTTTCGTCTTGTTAATAAAATATATTTTATTGACATAAGAAATATAATTTTGCTAATATGTTTGGGTCATTTGGTCGTTCAAGTAGCAATTATTTTCAGAATACTATTATATTGTAGTGCATAAATAAATAATTCAATAAAAATATTCGAATAAGTTACATAGACATATAATTTATATACATTATTTTTTTAAAATTAAAATCTCAAATCAATTCTATAAATCTATAAAAGTGGGATAATTACTTGGTTGGTCACTGAACTTTGCAAAATATTTATAAAAGATCACTGAATTTCGAAAATTTCCCTCTTAGTCACTAAATTTTACAAACTATAATTTCATTGATCTCAAAAAAATTTCCGTTAATGACTAAACTTTACAAAATTTAATCACGTACATACTCGATGTATGTAATTACTTTTTGTAAAGTTCGGTGATTAGCGAAGAAATTTTTAAAATTCAATGATCTAAAAACCTTACACAAAGCTTAGTGACCAATAAGGTAATTAACCATCCAAATTTCACATTTTTTTTCACACGTCTCATCCACTACGAGCCCATCGCCCCATCCTATCCTACCCCCATCCCCACTTGCGAATTTCAGATGGGTAATTATATTACCACAACATAATTTACTTACTACACCACAATTTTAATTAATTTATTTAATTAATTAAATCACCTTAAATAGAATTACTTAATTACCCACAATTTTACACGCATTCTGAAAATATTTTTTATCTGAATACACCCCAATCCAAGTTGGTGCTTCTCCTTCAACTGACAACTCATGTGCCTATACCGCCGTCACCGCCGTTGCCGTCGCAGTCGTTGCCGCCACCGTCGCCGCCGCC